GGGGGGGGAGCCCTGTCATAAGGGGGTTTTAAAACGCAAATTGCGTACCTTTCAGGTGGGTGACTGGGGGGGGGGCGATCACCACCCCCGCCCCTTTGATCCGCGCCCGGCTGTGCTGTGTGTGTCGTGTGTGTACGAATGATCCCGTTACTCTGCCCCAGCCTCGTCACGAAGGCGGCACCAGCGTCGCGACGCCACGCCGAACAGCGGCGCTACTCGCTTCTTCGGGCCTAGAAGTTCAGGCGCCGCGGCGCCACCACCTTGGTCCCCACCCCAGAGATGGCGCCACGAAGCCGCGGCGGCCGCGGCGCTCTGGCTGGGCCTGGGCCGGCCGCCTGGGCTCCAGCTCCGCGCTCCGCGGAGGCAGCCCTCGCGCGCCTCGCCCCCTGGGCCGGGCCGGGCCGGGCTCCCCGCTCGCTCCCCAGTAGGCTGCTGCTAGCCGGCCAGACAGGCCGCCCAGGCCGCGCAGCTCTCTGTCCACCGCGACGCCAAACGGACCGCGAGGCAGGCCGCACGCTCCGTAGACTGTAATGCCACCCCGCGCACCACGACCACCAGGGCAATAAACGCTACAACAAAAACAACCAGGGCCGACCTCATTCCGCATTGAGGAGGCAAGCTCATCTGCGTCGGGCGCCGTGACCGTCACGTGACCACGTCAGTGGCACGTTTACTACGTGTGTGTGTGGTGGTGTGTGCGTGGTGCGCGCGCGCGCGCGCGTGTATGTGAGTGTGTGTGCTGGTGAGAAGCGGATAACCCCTGCCATGGATTTACCCCGGTTGCTGACCGCGCTGTTCGTGGCACTCTTCGCGTTCACAGGTGAGCTTTCGGTCGAGCTTTGCTGCACTGACGCACCCCCATCCCCCTGTCAGCGCACGACCCCCCGCCAGGGGGCGCCAGGGGCGGCTCTCGGCTCCAGGGGCCTCTGTGATGGGCACGTGCTTCTCCTACCCTGAGACTGGGACGGTGCAGCAGGCGGGATGGGGGTACGGCACGCCAGGACTCACTAGGGCCGCATTCATTTGTCAAACTGACAATGGGAGTCATGATTCCAGAATCAGTTCAAACGTTGTGGTTTTCATTATTGACTGTATGCTAAACGATTGCCGATGAAATTTCGTGCCCAACTGTACATTTTGGGGGCTAGTCCTATTTCTCAAAAAATTACTAAAATCCATTTTTTAAGGTGGGGGGGGGGGGATCCTAAAGGTAGCCCCAATTTGTATTCGAGGATTCTTAGTATAAGTCAACAATGAAAACCCCAACGTTTGAAACGATTCGGGAATTTACACTTGTATGCCCCGGTTGCGCCGCATTACTGCATTTAATGCACATGAAATGCGGAACGAATGCGTTACCTTTTATGCGCATTTTTACGCGCATTGCCGCAGCTGTGACTACCCCTCTGAGGGGCAAACAAATTTTGGTTATCTTGACGGCCAGCTATGATATCATGATAGACACTCGGTCAAAAAGACCAAATCTTATATGCTGACTTCGTTTTGACAAATCTGTCTTGTGGAGAGGGGTCGGCAAAGAACACAACCTAAATTTATTTGTACATGCTTGTTCCTCTACTCCACCTATCCGCATCTCAAAAACAAACGAGTTTTAGTAATTTTTTGGGCGACATTTCTGCGTTACTTTTTATGGTGAATTTCTCTAGTTTCATCTGTCTGATGTCTTACGTCTGTAGGGTCATTACGCAGACAAGTGGGCGAAGAACGTTCTCCCACCCAACCGTCACCCTGTTTAGAGGGCTCATCGGATGTTGTCTGCTGTCCGCCATTCGCATGTAACCGGGTGGCTGACTCAAGCCGCGCACTTTCGTAGTTGTTACTGTTCCCGCCCGAATGCACGTACAGTATCACTACGAAAGTGTGCGGCATGAGTCAGCCACCTGGTATGTGGGCGACTTAAGCTAGGCGCACAGAAAAAGAGCAGGAAGAGCCAAGCGCGGATTTGCTCTATATAAAGTGCGGTGTGCGGTGCATCTCCCCCCACCACACCCCCTCTCTATGAAGTAGATTTACGGAGCTCTCGGATTCTCTGACTTCCGGTCCAACGTCGTATACAGAATTTTGGTGTTTTGTTTACCTTTTTGCCGACAAAGAGTGGCAAAAATTCGGAACCTCCGCGCTTACCAAAGAACAAAACAACGAAACATCTGTCTTACTACCCTACCCCACCCCACCCCTCGCCTTGTTTTGTCCGTTCTAGGAGGCACTTTCGAAAGCACTTTAATACACCTCGATATCTTCCTGCCCTTCTTTTTGGTGCGGAAGCTCTCCATCATGCCTCTGGTTGTGTCTCTATCACAAGCTCTTTCCGCTCCTGCACTTCCACCCGCTGTGCTGTACGGCCTTCTGTGACTCGTCTTGAATGAAAGCGACGTTCTAAATTAGAAAGAAACGGAGGGATGGGGGGGGGGGTGCGCGAGGGCAAGGGAGGCGATGCCTGCCGGCCTAACCGGGGAGGAGACTGAGACGCGGGGGCAGTCGGCTCGACCGGTCGCTGACTGGCCGTGCTGCTTGTTTGTTTCTGTTTGTGGGTGGCTCCTATAGTTCCAACGCACCGACCTTCATCAATTTTCTTCACCACAAGCAGGCCCGCTCTGGAAGTAATTCATGTGCGACACAGTCCAACATTTGTAAGTGGAATACCATGAGTATTTCAGTTAAGACTGTAGTACCACCACCACACTTGTATCACACCAACTGCTGCACCGTTGTACCACACTCCTTTTATAAGCGTGATACATGTGTGGCACTACAGTTGGAAGTGTGATACATGTATGGTACCACAGTTTTAACTGTGACACTCATGGTATTGCACTTACAACTGTTGGACTATATCACACTTGAGTTTTCAGAGCGCCAACTCCGCTTCGCTGGTCGGGCAACTCGGTTGGGCCTCTGCCTGGCCTGCACGACACGGAAAACAAGAATTTGTCGTCAGAACTAATATTTTCTATTTTGTAAATTTTGGATGGCCAATTAACTTGGCCCAAACTTATCACAAGTCGTCAGAACCAAAAGTTAGCCTCTAGAACGGAGCTGCAACCTTTTGGCTCTACCAAATAATAAATATTAGTTCCCACTGCGAATTTCGATTGGCTATCTACAGATTAGCTACTTATGTACGAAGTCAAGGAGTCGTAGGAAGCAGGGCGGCAATGGGGACTTGGTACTTTCTGGACAACTTTTCGATGTTTTTGGTAAGGTGCACGGGATTTTTAATGCCATATTTCAAACCAGACACGGTTCATATACCCACTCCACCCCTCACGACCATAATTTCTTCTTTTTTGGCTCAAACTTGACAAAAGGACCGGGGCCCGGCGGAGCGAGATAGTACGGACAGATCTCTGCTCACGCGTTTCTCACGCGGCGGTATTCGTCCTTGTCACACTCCATCAACGTGTCGGGGAAAGGGGGAGGAGAAGGGAGCTGAAGGGAGGACGTGCTTGCAGCGGGGACCGGTGGTGGGGAGGCCTCTCAACCTCCCCGTCACTGAAGCCAAACTGTCGCCAGCCGGCGGTAATGGCTTTGTAATGCAGTCTGGTAGTGAAGTGATGAGACCAGAAACGCCTATGCCAAGCGCCCGCCCCGCCACGCCCCGCCACGCCCCGCCACGCCCCGCCACGCCCCGCCACGCCCCGCCACGCCTCGCCACTACACGCCTGCTCAGAGGACTACTGCCAATCCAAGGGGTGGCCGGGTGGGTTAGGAGGGAGGCGTCGTTCTGACATTCTGATGGAACGTCTCTTCTCTTGATTGAAGGCTGATCTACTGCCTCCCCCCCCCCTTCCCCCCCCCTCTATCCACACACTCCCTTCCCTACCGGGGTGCGAATCCAGAAAACTGATTCGGTGTGGGAACCGTCGGGTTATGTCCGGTCAGGGACCATATCATCAAACTTGGTTTAGACAACACAAACCCAACCCCAAAGTTGTCAACACCATTTTGGCTCTCCCTATCCCGTGAATATCACCTCAACCATATTTATGGTGATCCCTGAACTAACTATACGTACGCTTCTGTACAGCTTTTCATTTTTCTGGATGCACGCACCCCCTACCCACTTTTCTTATCTCTCTCAAAACACCTTCCGTTTAAATGTAAAAATAAAAAAAAAATAGAAAAGGTGGCAGACCACTGAAAAAAAGGCATTGATCCCCCTCGATGCCTGTATTTGCGGGGGTTTCTGTTTCGCGACGCCGCGACGAGCCGCGGCAGCGTTTACATAAACATTTTCATATCGACAGCTCGACATGACGAAAGGGGAGGCGGGGGCGGCGGCGAGGGGAGGGGAGGGGAGGCGAGGGGAGGCGAGGGTAGAGATGGGGGAGGGGAGCGGATCGGAGGACGACGACTTGGCATAAGCTGCTTACCACCACCAGACTAGGCTCTCCGCGGGCCCGCTGCATGATAGACTGGTCTATCTGTGATATCCCCGCGTATGTAGTACGCGCATACACGGGCGCACTCACTCACGCACGCACGCACACCACACGCTCACACACACACACGCACACATG